ATCGTAGCCGATCGTGGATTGTAAATTTCGTAAAAGCGCGAATTTAATGTTTATCGAAACGTGGAGGGAAATAATGCGAGCGAGTCGACGATAAGTACTGCTGGCACACGGCACCCACGATAACCGTTCGCGCTAAGAAAATTAAGGGTGATAAGCCGAAGAAAGACAAAGTCATGGAGAACGGAGGGAGGAGGAAAAAAATGTGTTTCGTTTTATCGTAGGAGCGGGACGAAGAGGCGAAATCCCTTATCGTTCTGCACAGCTCGAGTCGACCGTTATCGGAATTGGACAAGGCCGCGAGACGCTTTCCTGATAACGCACGGGTTCTCTCTCGTGTTGTTGCAAATCGAAGAAAAAAAATATATCGTCGAGGGAAAAAAATAAATTCTCCGCTTGGGTTGTTTGCAGGGTGAATTCGACGTTTCTCGAATTTCCTCTCGCAATTTTTAACGTTCTATGCTATGGGCATACTTTGATAAGGGTTTTCTGTTAAGAGGTGTCATTTTAAATTATAAAAAACACTGTTTTTGTTTTGAGAATTATCGAAATATTTTAGTACATTACATTAATCATGGAATATACTATCTTCCAAGTGGTCGCCTAAGCTCTTTTTACAGACTCGCCATTCGTTTAAGGAAATTTTTCATAACGTTTTCGCAAAAATCCGTCTTTCATTTCACGAATTCCAGCTCTGATATTGTCTTCCAGTGCATGAATCGTTGCTGGAGCATTGGAGTAGACCTTATCGTCTATCTGATCAGACTTGATCAAAAAATTGTTTCAAATCATCCCAGGAACCCCCCATTTCCAGGAGTCGAAGCTATTTTGGGACACTCTGTATAATATACGAAGCCAGATAACGACGCCGCGAAACCCAAAAATCGAAAAAAAAATCGCGTCTTTCGCGGGAACGAAACTAGAATCGAAGCGTATTTACGGTGGACCGGGTCCCCGATCACGGCCGAAAAGTCACGTCGATAAGCGATACGACCCAGTTTTCCATCGACGAAACGCGCCGAGGGTTATTAGGGGCAGTTACGGTGGTCGAAGTCGAAAACCCTCGAGCAACACGGAACCCCTGGAGGAGAGGGTTCAGAGTGGGAGGAACGTGTTCCGCCTACCGTTTCGAGGCTCGTTAATTTGCCGCCGACCCCCTTTCGCCCCGCTCGAACGGGAAGGGTAAAACGATTTCATGGAATTGTCAGACCCGATGTATACAGGGTGGTTCGTTATTCGCGTTACAACCGACAACTGGGAATGATTCTTCGTGAAACGATAAGTGAACTCTCTGGAATGACGTGTTTTTTTTTTTTTTGATCGTTCATTAAGAAAAATTGTTTATTCTATTTTTATCTCGACGAAGTATCTATTTGGCGAATCACGCTGTTCACAACAATTTGGCGATTGTTTGTGTGATACGTTGATGTTTCTGTTTTTGGAATGAATCTGCATTTTCGACCCGTGCCACCTCGTTCTCAAGCCAGAATTTAACGAGCCAAGCGATACGCGCCGCAATCAATCATCCGCGATAAACACTACCCGTAGTCATCGCTTTCATCCGAGTATGTGGTAACAGAGTTGACTTGACCTACAATGTTTTGTTTCGGATTTATCACCCGTGTTTACAGCATCGCGTAAATAACTGATCGTACGAGCGTGTTATTTACCTCGATAAATCAAAACGACTGGAGAGTTGAATAAGACACGCGGCTTACGTAAAATGTGTGCGACAAAGTTCGAGAATTTTGTTCTGTACAATGATCCCATTGATATCAGGAATTTCTATTTCACGTATTATTCATAGTGATTAGAGAAATACAATATTCAGTAAGCTAGATAAATGAAGAAATATCTTCCCGACTATTCATTCGCTGCAAATGGTATAATGATTGCAAATGAAGCAGTTATAGATCCCCGAGTTTCACAGAGACTAATATCAAGTAATAGTGTATTACTTATTGGTACACCTAATATAACAACAATCTAATGTAGAATTCTTTGGATATAAATTGTACTACAAACTACCGTCGGGACATAAAGGGTTAAACTCTAGGTTCCCAAAGTGGGCGCTACCAGTGGACGCTCAGGAGATCTAGAAGAGCACTAGTTATATTATTTTCAATCTAACTTTTTAAGATTCGAAGATTACAGACACAACAACACTTGAAAATTTTAGTAATAAAGATACCTTACCAAAGGGGTGGGGAGGCATTGAACAGAAAAAACTTTGAAAAGTTCAACCACAGACGAGATATAAAATTATATACAAATACGAGATATCATATTACACCCATCCCTCGATTTACACGGAGTATTCGTTCCATTTAATTTTTTTTAAATAAATATTTTTATAAACTACACTACCATTTCTCTTGAGAATTTTTGTTTCGTACAGGCAGACTTTATTTAGACGGCTTTTATCCGCATAAAGAAGAACCACATTCTAACAATAATATTACCTGGGGTCACAAATAATCGAAGTGCACCTGAATGTTTCAAATTACATTTCAAAAATACAGAAACGTTTGCACAAGATTTCCTTCCAAAATCACTACAACAGTAATACTATCCCGGGTAATAAATGACCAATCTACACGTGAATGTTTCAAATTGAATTTAAAGAATGAAGAATCGTTTATACCAGATGCCCTTCCAAAATCACTACAACAGTAATACTATCCCGGGTAATAAATGACCAATCTACACGTGAATGTTTCAAATTGAATTTAAAAAATGAAGAATCGTTTATACCAGATTCCCTTCCAAAATCACTACAACAGTAATATTACCCCGGGTAATAAATGACCTACCTACACGTGAATATTTCAAATTACATTTAAAAAATAAAGAACCGTTAACACAAGATTCCCTTCCAAAATCACTACAACAGTAATATTACCCCGGGTAATAAATGATCAACCTACACGTGAATATTTCAAATTACATTTAAACAATAAAGAACCGTTAAAACAAGATTCCCTTCCAAAATCACTACAACAGTAATATTACCCCGGGTAATAAATGACCAACCTACACGTGAATATTTCAAATTACATTTAAACAATAAAGAACCGTTAAAACAAGATTCCCTTCCAAAATTATTATAACAGTAATATTACCTGGGGTCACAAATGATCCGAAGTGCACGTAAACATTTCAAATTCCATTTAAAAAATACAGAAACGTTTACAAAAAATTTCCTTCCAAAGCCACTACAACAGTAATACACAATCATATGGAGCAAACACTCCGCGCAGATCGAGGGACGGGTGTATATTCTTATATCTCGTCTGTGGTTCAACTAACGAAACTCGCGATCACCATTCATGATCCGTGATCTCTTCCTCAGGTTTACGGACACAGCCGCCGGAGAGGAAGCAGCGGTTGTAGCTTCCTGTCGACGCGTGGGAAAACACTCGAACGCGTCTTCATAAACCAGCACGCAACAGAGAAAGAGAACGCTGTTCTTCCATCCTCTGGCTCGTGATTTCGTATTTTTCTCC